TCCTGCATCTTTGCAGCAGGAACAAACTAGTCATGGGAAGACCAAAGACTCACTCTCTCTGAGTTTTGCTTTCCATACAGTCGCATCAGACTCCAGCTCAACCAAAGACAAGGTGAAGTCATCAGGTTTCTCCAAATAGACTTCAATGTAACTTTTTAGTTTCAAGAGAGATCCATCAACAAATTCAATTTCCTATACAATGTAAATATGTTAAAAATAAATATTTATCCAAAACATAAAGAGAACATATTTGGTTGTTGTCTGAGAACAACTCCAAACTCCCCAGATTTTTGCTGTTGAACTTAGTACCAGGATTTCTTCCCAGAAGTTTACAGCTCTAAGGGGCAAATGTTTTCTGCAGTGATAGCAAATGAATGTGAGATATGCCCTTAACACCAGTGCAGGAACATACAAGTAAAGTGATTTTGTGCCATGTTTCTAAAGAAGGTGCAGTGCACGAAATGAGGGCTGTGTAAAGGACTTACCTCTGGAGTTATTTCAGCTTCTGGCTCACAAACTTTTTTTCCTTCTGTAGTAATTTTTGGCATACAGGGGGCTTGTCAATTTTAATGAATTTCTTATTTGAATGTTTTACAGCTCTTGAGATATCCTAAAATTTAAAAAGATGATTTAAAGGTTACTCATTTCAGTAAAGGAACTAACATTTAAAGCCTGTGTTAATGTGGTTCCTTGGGCTTTTCTCTGGCCCCAACTCTATAGAACAGCTGTGACCTGTTCCACAGGGCAAACTTTACAGAAAACTGTGCACTAAACACCACACTTACAAACTATCACATAAACCTCTCCAGCTATTGTGCCCTATAGCTGAAATTAGACAGAAGAGTTCGCAACCTAAATAAAAGGAAGGTTGTTTGTTGCTGTCCTCTTCTAGTGTTTGCCTATGTATTGTAAGGGGGGAAGGGTGAGAGAACAAGAAGCTCTTTAAGGTATAAATCCCAAGATCTGTGGATTCTGGTGGCAAACAGGTTTCTTTTTATAGCAGCTCATGAATGAACATGTTGGCCAGCATAATTACTTAAACATCATTTCCTAACTTAGCAGACATTTTCGGTATGGAAATCTCATTATAGAGAGATATATAGCTTTGTATGCAAACAGTGGAGCAAGAGAAGAGCATCTCTTCACCATACTCCATGTTCCATGTAGCACCCCTATAACCAGCCCTGCCAGTATTTCTATATCATGCTACCCTACACAAGCCATACCTTTATAAAGGAGTCGTTGTTTGTAGCCACATAGACACGAAAGGATAAGGAGGGATGCTCATCAACAACTTTGTAGAGGATGACAGCGCCATGGTACTGCACCGGCTCCTGGCTCTGAATGAGTGGTCCCACTGGCGAGAGTGAGCTCACCAGCCATTTCACGTGCGAAGCTGAGTAGTCAGCTGAGGGCTCGATGGCTGCGCCCTCGCCTTTGATGTGCAAAACCTTGAAGGCCATGCCAGCGCCATGATCTGCAGGGACACATGGCTGCCTCAGCACCTCCTGCACCGGAGAGCTGGCAGCCTCCCGCACCCGCCGGGCCACCGGCCAGCACTCACCACCAAGGCAGAGGGAGTGGGGAAACTGGATGGAGGTAAGAGCAGGGGCCGAGTCACAGCGCACGTCGAAGAGGGGGCCACCCACAATCCATGGCTTTTCCACGAGGTTGGCATATTTGCTCCAGGATAAGAGGGAGTACGTGATTTTGACAGCCTTTGTTACCTCAAAAATCAAGCCTGTGAGGCTGCACTGGTAAGTCCCCTCTGTGTCCAGATGCATTCTGCCATGGGGAAGAGCAACCCAGTTAGTTTAGTTTCCACTACGTAGTAAATACCACAGAAATATGGTTTGCAAGGGATAACTGAGAAACTCCCTTCCCAAAAAGCACAGAGAACTTTATCTGAACAGCACAGAGGGCACTATGTTTTTTTTCTCTCATCTCTACATTTAAACTGTCACTGAACTGTTAAAAAACTGTCCAGGAGCAGCCAGTGCATGCAAAATAGCTGCAATGAACATTCTGTATAACATTTCTTGCAAACGAGGCAGCTGCTTTTACACGAACATTCAGCCCAGTTCCCACCAATATCAAAGCCAACAACACTGACAACATCAACATCATACGTGGATAACACCAAACACACACACTGTCAACATCAAGGTCACACACTGATGGCAACTTCCAAGCCAGAGAGGAGAACAAGGCTGGGATCCAAAACAACATGCAAGGTCAGTGCAAACAGACAAGACAAGTATTCTTGTGAAGCAGGGCAAGACCCCTCATGTGATCCAGACTAAAATAAGCACATATAAATGTGCCTAATGTTAATTATTACAGCAAGACGAGGCAGGCAGGAACCCATCCTAAGAGCTTTCTTGGACCAGTATCTGGAGGCAGCACAGGCAGCTGCTCTACATTGTTTATTTTTAAGGATTTGAGGGCATCCTCCAGCACAACTCCAAATGTATTTGTGCAGCAAATAAATTGTTTTCCCACTTAAAGCAAAGAGAAAAGTATCTTGATGAGATATGTACATGTATACCCATTATATTAAAGAAATCCATACATATATTGTCCTCCAGCAAGTCTCCTAGGGGTCACTTCCTCCTTCTGGTCCTGTAAATAGATTAAAAAGAAAGAAAATTTTTTTAAGAAGGTGATGGGAGAGCAGAATTACAGTTTGCAAATTATCTCATGCAAAGTGTGTGCTCTGAGGATTTTTATAAACATACGTTTTCATTTCTGCAATGCTCACAGGGTGGCAGACAGTTCGCTCCTAGTGAGGAAAGGGCAAAATCAGCTCATTAAAAACAAAGTAATTCAACACTGCCTGGGCTAGTGGAAGGTGTCCCTGCCAGTGGCCGCGGGGGGGGGGGGGGGGGGGGGAGGGTTATATAAGAAACAAACAAAAAACAACCCTCAAGAGATCCGTTACTACCTGAGTCGTTGCAGCACAGTAGCGATTCCTTCTCCTCCTGTTCTTCATCTACGAAAAAGTTTGCAGCTATTACCTCAGCCTCTAGCAGTTTTCTGATCCCAAGCTCAGCAAGGACAACCCAGCAATTTAATTCACTTACATTCATAAAAACCTCAGGAGAATATTCCTAGGACTAAGTTCTTGTACACACACTTGCACACCTGCGTGTGCAGACTTGGCACGGGGATGAACATCAGGAATCAATTACTGTCAAAAGCTCATCACTTGCTCAGATTACTGAGAATTTTCACACGGGTTAAAAAAAAATTCACCCACAGGATAAGTCTCATTGTGTCAAGTACAAAGTTCAACCACCCAGCACAGACGCTGACACCACCACTCCTAAGTGAGCAGGTAACCACACTATTTGCAGTGTATTTGTCCCCAGAGTGCTTGAATCCTCCTTACTAACCCCCAACAAAATCGAAAGCAAGTGGAGCAGACACATTAAGCAGAAGCTTTTAGCCTGAAGGGTGGATTTTTCAGCAGCCAAGTGGCAGACCTGTCGTGACAAGGTGTGAGGCAGGACTGGCTGCTGGCGTGCTGGTTGTCTCTCTCCCCTGCAAGCCAGGACTCCAGCCAGGCTGTCACAAAGTCATCCTGGGACATCAACACCCCCTCAGGCAGGCAGATGTGGGAGAGGCAGAAAACGTATTGCTGCAGCGAACAGCCTGGAAAACATCAGGCGAACACCACCCAGCGCATTGGCTCCCTTCCTGCAGCCATGCTATTTCAGACCCTGAGCTGCAGAGGGGTTGCAGTGACCCAAGGCCACCTGGGGCGCGTGGAAGCTCAGCTCAGCTCTGTCCAGCATTGCCCTGCACCTGCAGCCCTCCATTTGCAAACAGAGGCAGCAAGCGTGCAGCACGCATGCACCCCGCGCCCCTCCTTCCTGGGTATGCTCTCTAGCAAGTTGTTGTAACAAAAGACATGGAGGTGACAGCCAGGCCAGCTCTAAGTCACTTTCCTGCCAACAGGTACCACTACCCTTGTGCATCACTTATCTGCGCCGGCCTTGTAAGACAGATACAAGAAACAGAATAAAAGCACACTCACCCGACCTTCTTCCATCTGACTCCTCTGCATCTGATGAGAAAAAGCTTTGTAATTATTTCACTAAAGACTATCAATCCATGAAACCAGAATAAACTGCTGGTGGTGTAACCCATATAAGCGAAAACCCACAGGCTTTTCATCAACAGCAAACACTTCCTTTAATTCTTTTCCTGTCCATCCTGTTTTGCCACTTTTACTGCCAACTTTTAAGCAGATTTATAGCCTCTTGGTGTTTGGACAACTACTGTGTTGTAAAAATATCTGCGTGTATTGTGTCTGTGAGGCTAAAGCAACATTAGCTGCTGCTCTTCTTTTATTGCTTTGCTCAAAACTAAGTGGTTAGAAAATCATTTGCTCACAAAAATATCTTTCTGCTTTTCAGCATGCAATCACTGAATTAAGTCTTATACAGTAACCCCAAGGCTATTCCCACGAAAAACAGCTGGTTTAAACAAGATTACATTTTCAAAAGAGAGAGAATACTTAAATCATGACACAATGCTCACCTGACTCCTCTTCGGAGGTACTGCTAGAGCTGTGTTCAGAACTGTCCTCTCCTTAACAAAATTACATCCCATTAGTCACAGGCAGAATGAAATAAAGCAATGCCACAGGTAACTAAAAGGATACATCTAAAAGTTTAAGTACAACAGGTTGGTCAGCAAGTTAGATAATGTAACAGAATAGAAAAAATACTGAGGCAGAGGAGCATCAGAGCATCAAATCCCAGCATCAGAGGGTACTTTGGGGTCACGCAGGCCCTTCTGAAGGGTACATGTGATGTTCAAGGTGCTTAACGTTAATGTTTTATACAACCTGGGACTATTTTGGACCTTCACCTGTGGCATGTCGCAGTTCACCCAGTTAAATTACGGTTTTCTGTGACATGCATGTGGGGAGGGAGAAGCACTGCTGGGAGCTGGTGTGTCCCATCAGTGACATGACTCGTGGATGTACCATAGGTGGCTTTAATAAACTATTCTTACAAAGTTGAAGAGAAACCAGTATTGCAAAGCAAGTGGCTTGAGGAGCTGCAGCAGTGTCTATGCTGTGGTTTTATCACAGGGAAT